CTATGTATGGGGAAATCTAGTAACCTGGAGAAGTAAGAAACAAAATGTGGTTGCTAGAAGTAGTGCAGAATCAGAATTCAGAGCTATGGCTAATGGAATATGTGAGTTACTCTGGATCAAACGAGTAATCACAGAACTAAAGATGGAGATTGAGCTGCCTATGAAGTTATTTTGTGATAATAAAGCTGCTATAAGCATTGCTCATAACCCTGTGCTACATGATAGAACTAAGCACATTGAAGTGGACAGACATTTCATTAAAGAGAAGATTGAAGCTGGAATCATTTGCACACCATTTGTATCCACTAAAGATCAAACAGCTGATATCTTCACCAAAGGGTTATTTAGACCTATATTTGAGCTACTTATAAGCAAGTTGGGAATGTATGATATATACTTACCAACTTGAGGGGGAGTGTAGAAAAATGTAACATATTCTTGTTATTTTAATTACTTGTACATCCGGAACTGTGTAGATAAGAATTAGAGTAGATAGGACTCTCTAATTAGTAGATAAGCTCACAGAATAGATAGAATAGATAGATCCTATTTTTTAGGATCTGTAACAACTTGATTTTATCTGTAAACATGTATATATACCATGGCCGGATGGCTCAATAATATCAAGGAAGTTTTATTCCTAAAACTTACACTTATCTACTAATTAATATAGTCTAACAACTCTAAAATCTTATCTACACGGGTACACATGTACATCATCTAATAAGTAAAAAATAAATGTAACATTTTCTACAGAAACTGTTTAAATAAGTGTCGCTCTTGAGCCTTGATATACCCTCTTGGTCATCGCCTGTAATCACAATGTCATATACATAATCTACTAGATATATATATGTCGATTGAATTGATCTGGTGCTAAAAAGATTATTCAGGGGAAAATGATCATTGTCCAATCAATATATAGATCTTGTAGTTTATGTAGATGACATTATGATTGGAGGTGATGACCAAGAGGGTATCAAGTCTCTAAAGCAACACTTCTTTAAGCGTTTTTAGACTAAGGATTTGGAGTATTCATGTTACTTTCTTGGGATTGAGGTGGCTCAACCCTTTTCTTTTAATGTTGTTAGCTAATTTCTGAAGTCCCCTACTCCCCTTGTCATAGTCATTGGCACGCAGTTGTTCAGATACTTTTATATATCAAAGGGTCTCCTGGAAAGGGAATCGTTTATGCAGATCATGGTCATACTAATATTGTTGGGTAATCAGATACACACTGGGCAGGAAATCTAGGTGATAGGCAATCCACTACTAGTTAATGAGTTTTTCTAGGTGGAAACCTTATCTCATAGAAGAGTTAAAAGCAGAATGTTGTTGCCAGGTCATGTACAGAAGCCGCGTATCAGGCTATGAATCGCATAGTCACACACTTACACCACAAATGAGCTAATGTGATGAAGCATTTATTAGAGTTACCTCCATGGGACTAGATTGTGAAAATGAATCAGCCTTGCATCTGTTCTCTAATCCAGTATTTCATTAGAGGATAACACATATTAAGTTGATTGTCATTCCATTTGAGAGAAGATCATAACTGGCCTCATCAAGTCGTTTCATGTTTTGATAGGACTAGGGCAGATTAGCACTGATAAAAACATTGAGAATAATAATAATATTAGAAGAGTTAGTATAAACAGATGCTGAGGGTAGAATAGAAGGGAGGCTGGGATTATTCTTTTGGCTTGGGACTTGGAGAGTTGGCACTCTTTAACTGCCTTTGTATTTCTCTCTCTATATTTTCTGTTATACGACTCTTTCAATTGTTACACACATCTCTTTTCTTCATTGCTAGCTTCTTGAATCACTGTGATTAGGTGTGTAACCTATCATTGGTATCAGAGCGGGGATTCTGTTTCCAGTGGTTGTTACTCACACCAGTATGGAAAGCAGATTGGAAATGCTGGGAGAGGTGATACGACTCCGCAACGAAGAGAGATGGAAAGATTTCGCGGAGTTGCGCAAATTGATACTGCAGCGGTACGGTCGACATGAGCCAGGAAGATCGATGACCATAAAGCGCTGTCGGAACTCGAAAAGCAAGAGCAGTTCGCAAACAGCTCTTCAACGTTCGCAGACTTCGTCGAGTTCGCAGAGTTCGTTGCTACTTGATTCGCTGAGTTTGCAAGCTTCATCTCAAGCGCTATCCGTTTCTACCAGTTCACTATGGCTAACCAAGCATCATCGATCGTCATCGCAAGTCGATTCTCACCATGCGCAAATCTCAGCGACGACACTGCTCCAACGATTCTCACCCTGCACAAGCTATAGACCTTGTGGAATCAAGAAGTGAATCGCCATCGACAACACTGAAGGATAAGTGAGGACATATGCACCATTAATTCCTGAGCCGGATCCAGAATATGACATTACTCAAACCACGGAGTTTCCAACAGATAATCCTGAAAATTCAGAAACGCGCAAACCTGATATCCCTACAGACAGGAAGTAATTCGTACTAACCACAATGGTCCTGTCTGGGAACTGAACAACACTATCACAGGGCTGATGAGGAGGGCCTGTATCACCCATCTATCCTTACCTATGACTCTATGAGGGTCGAAGGTATGCTCTTGTACCGGAAAGAAACACAGAATATTTTAAATCTTTGTTGGGAAGAGTTCAAGAGCGTGAGTTGGGGGTTATAGGGAACATTGTGCACCTTCATTCATCAAAGAGAATTTTAGAAGGGCTGAATAAGTTTGATGGCTTCAGATTTGATGGTGATACTTCTGGGAAGTATGTCCAGAATGGGCTGGGGGTAGGAATTACTGAGAATTGGAAGGAAAAGGTTGATTATGGTACTGATGATAATGCTGCAGTATTTGTAAGGATTGACGATGATCTTATTCCTGGTCTAGTCCCTGATGCCTTATTCATTGGTGAATATTTTAGAGAAATGCTAGTAGTTTGTATACAGACCCCAAATTCTTTTGGGATTAAGGCTTGGATGTTGTTGTTGTTGCTAGTAGTTTGTATACATGTTCAAGATAGAAGTGCAGGTTTGGACTATAGGTTTCACATGACAATTGCTGGTCAATGGGTTAAGATACCCAGGAAAAGAGAGGAGGATTGGGAATTGGGTGACAGTGTTCACACACTTACTAATAGGAGTTGGATGGAGAAGTATGTTGGTGATGCTAACCGTCAGGACCAAGAAATTAGGGGTGAAGGTGTTGTGTTATTCCAGGGTGCCTTAGCAAAGCAATTGGGGAAGAATGATCAACAGATCAGTGAAATTGAAAGATCAGTCTTAACTCACTCAAATGGAAAACCTAGGATGGCTGTTAAGGGCGGCCGTTTGTACTTTCTGCAAATTGGGACTCCTCTAATTTTGGACTGAGTGGGGCTGATGAGTTTACTCTTGAATACCAGTTGGATAAAATCAGTGTGGAATTGGACTCTACTACTCAGGCTGTTGTAATTGATGTCTCCAACAGAGAGCATCTCATGGATTTATCTTTAAAGTCAGAAATTGCTAGTGGTGTCAAAATTGATGGAAAGTGGCTGGATGGACTGCACACTCTTGATGGAACTATTCAACGAGTAGTTTACACCTATATTGTTCCTATGATGCAATCCAAACAGGAGAATGATTTACGAGATACATGATTAGAAGTGGGTAGCCTGCTTTGGGACCTCTTGGCTCTGCCCAAATTTGTAATCAATGAGGTTTTTCAACCATTAGTTAGGGAATTTTTGAAGAGGTTGATTGATCACACAGTTGAAGTTTGTATGTGTTCTTGAAAAGGTTAAAACTGGTTTGCTCTATGATCATTTAGAGCTGAAACTCCTCAGATTATGTTTGCCTTATGTGAGAGACTGCTGAATTATGATGAAGATCTTTGTAAGCAAGTTGCTGTTGCTCTCTATGATGTAGCATGCTGTGCCTTATCCTCCATAGATTTTGAAAGGATCAAGCTCGTTGCTGAGAGTCTTAGAGACAAATATTTACTGGAAAGTTTCAAGTATGATTGGATCCCTGGGAAGATGTTGATGTGTTATTATAACGGGGATTTCAAATCAGATGCTTTTGAACTGGTTCCAAGTCTTGATCAAATTGAGGTCAATTCTTTTGAAAAGATGTGGGAACAAAAGCAAAGAATACAACAGGAGATGCAGATACTGGGAGATTTTCACAACACCATGGAGCGTTATGCCACCATGTCTTTACTTCTGCTCTTTCCTGCTGAGAAGGACTAGAGAATGAAGGTTCAAGTACCAAAGCTAAAGGCACAGAATTCAGCGATGTACTGGGAAGGGAGAGGCGCCAGGATGAAGATAAACTTGAAGGTCAAGGCTGTTTCCTATCACCCACCTTGAGGACAAGGTGGTTGTTCAAGGGGGGAGATATGATAGGACTAGGGCAGATTAGCACTGATAGTAACATTGAGAATAATAATAATAATATTAGAAGAGTTAGTATAAACAGATGCTGATGGTAGAATAGAAGGGAGGCTGGGATTATTCTTTTTGCTTTGGACTTGGAGAGTTGGCACTCTTTAACTGCCTTTGTATTTCTCTCTCTATATTTTTTGTTATACGACTCTTTAAATTGTTACGCACATCTCTTTTCTTCATCTCTAGCTTCTTGAATCACTGTGATTAGGTCTGTAACCTATCATGTTTGCTCTGAGGATCAGCTTGCAGATATCTTTATCAAACTATTGTGGCGTCCTAGGATTGCATACATGTGTAACAAGTTGGATGCTATGCTCTAGCTTTAGGGGGATCTTATTAGTCGTCATACTTATCATATCCCTTAAGTTTGGGGATTTGTCCTTGTCTTATTAGCCGTCATACTTATCATATCCCTTAAGTTTAGGGAGTTGTTAGTCTAATTTTTTGTACAAATATTAGCCCTTACTCTCAGTAAAGGATTAAGTGTTTACTCAGAGATATATTCAATAGATACTTTCACAGCTTTCCCAATTCCAAAGGCATAATTGTAATATTTACTTTTAGTGTTTTTGGATTTTTAGGTTGAAAAACATTTAAAAAGAATATGGAGTACTGCTTTTCGTGCCATGGATGACATCAAGGAGTCAGTACGGAATGCTGGGGAAAGATTATGCCGTACTGTCACTTCATTAACACAGAGGCTATGCGATGTCTCTCTCACGGAAACCTCAAATGCAAAACTAGCAATGGATATTGTGTTACCGTTCTTGATTACAGATGGTATAATGAGCAAAGTTGAAAATATCCGCAAGGCCTCCATTGGAGTTATTACAAAGCTTGCTAAGGTAAAGAAATTGTGCAAGATTAAGTACTCAATGCATACCATATTTCTTATAGCTTAAAATGGGTTTAAAGTTCTTTTACTTCTCAGGTAACCAATTCTGAATAATTATTGTAGGTGGATGGGGAAGGGGTAAGCATTATCATGTCTTGTCAAATTGAATCATCTAGACTCCAAACAGCCTTAACTTGCCCTCATGAAAGGACCCAAATTTGATTTTATTTGACGCATTGTTAGATTACATTCATCTTTCATTTTTTCGTAGATACAATTAATATACATACTAACTACAAACTAAAACCATAAAATTGACTACATGCACGGCTAAGCAAGTTAATCAAATGTTTTAATTGAGCACAAGAAGGATGTGGGGTAATGGCTCACATGAGAGATTGTAGGTTTCATTGTAAAGACTCTTTTGTGATGCTCAAGTTTGGTTTGCAATTTTTTAAAATAAGTGATAATACTGTTTTTGCTTTAGGCAGAATGTCGTATTAGATATTCCAGTGTTATATAGATGCACTTTGCTGAAGTCTTGCATGATATCCTTCTGTTCTTTTTGTCATACAAGTTCTATCGTGCACTTTGCTTCTGTATTCCCTGTTTTTTCATGGTCAAGCTGTCAAGGAATTTTTTCTAATCTATTAAAAATCATTCGTCATTTTTTTGCTAAACTTTATAATATTTTCAGAGTGCTGGTATTTCACTTCGTCCACATTTGCCTGACCTGGTTTGTTGCATGCTCGAAAGTTTATCAAGTCTGGAAGACCAAGGGCTGAACTATGTTGAGGTCTGGTGATTTTTCTGCCATCTGCTTTTTGTTGTTGTTTGTTCTTATTTCAAATTCAGTTGGTTTGAGGAAATAAGATGCTTCATGTTGAATCGCTTCAAATTTATGCGTTTAAATTTGTGATATCATTTAATTATTTCTTCCTTTGTCAGTTACACGCTGCAAATGCTGGAATCCAAACAGAGAAACTTGAAAGCTTACGCATATCAATGGCAAAAAGTTCTCCAATGTGGGAAACACTTGAGCGTTGTATAGATATTATTGATTCTCATTCATTGGAGTTACTGATTCCTCGTGTTGCTCAATTGGTTCGTGTAGGCGTTGGCTTAAACACACGGTAGGCTTACCACTATAATCATTTTATTATTTTGTCTGTTGCAAAATGTGTATGGTGGGGGTATGGGGGCATTTTCAGTGACAATTGTAAATTTGAATGGCATCAAGCTGGTTAGTTCTATTTATGCATTTTTGGCTCAAATTCTTTTTCTCTTTGTTAATGCTATGACATAACTCATTGTTTTTGTTGAAATAAAGTATATAAACTAAGATATAATATTGGAGAGGAAAGGATTTTCTGTGTATTTCATTAGAGGGTTTAGTCCCTACAAATATACATTACAAATATAGAATATTCTTATAAGATTCTATACAATAATAATATCCTAGAGTATATTCCTATAATATTCTAAAGCATATTCTAAAGTATATTTTAATATATTTCACTCCCCCTCAAGTTGGAGCATAGATATTCATCTTGCCCAACTGGTTACATAAGTCTCTAAGTTGTTCTCCAGTCTCCCTATGTCCTGTAGAGATCAATCCTTTTTGTAACTTCTCTTGAATAAAATGACGATCGATCTCAATATGTTTTGTTCTCTCATGAAACACTTGATTGTTGGCAATGTGTATAGCAACTTGATTATCACACCACAACTTAACAGACATTGGTGTCTTCAATCCAATTTCACTCAATAAATGGTTTATCCAGATTATCTCACATGCAGATTGTGCCATAGCACGATATTCTGATTCAGCACTAGAATGAGAAATCACATTCTGCTTCTTACTTTTCCGGGAGACGAGATTACCACCAACAAAGACGCAATGGTCAGATGTAGATATCCTATCATCTTTAGATCCAGCCCAATCAGCATCCGCAAATCATTCTATTCTCATGTGATCATGATTTTGTTAAACAATACCTCGTCCTGGTGTCCCCTTCAAGTAACATAATATATGCTCTACAACATTCCAATGATCAACTGTCGGAGATGACATGTATTGACTTACTACACTCACTGAGTAAGCAATATCTGGATGAGTATCTGCAAGATAATTAAGTTTTCCAAACAATCTTCTATATCTTTTCGGATCTTCGAATGGCATGCCTTCGTTAGTGAGTTGCGCATTGGGAATCATGGGAGTATTACTTGGTTTTGCCCCTAATTTCCCTGTCTCAGCTAGTAAGGCAAGTACATATTTACGTTGATATAGAAATATGCCTTTCTTACTCCGTGTTATCTCAATCCCCAAAAAGTATTTCAGTGAGCCAAGATCTTAAGTCTGGAATTAATTGTGCAGAAAATTCTTAAGGGCCAAAGTACTTGCATTATCACTTCCTATAATCACGATATCACCGACATACACCACAAGCAATGTGATACCTGCTTTCGTTCGTCTGTAAAAGACAGAGCGATCTGATTTGCCTTTTATCATTCCAAACTGTTCAATTGATTGACTGAATTTCCCAAACCGTGCACACGGACTCTGTTTTAGACCATAAAGAGACTTGCGAAGTCGACAAACTTTACCATACTCCCCTTGAGCAACATATGCCGAAGGTTGCTCACTATAGACTTCTTCCTGAAGGTCACCATGCAATAATGCATTTTAATGTCCAACTGATGTAACTGCCAATCATGAGTTACAACAAGTGAAATAAGTAACCTGACACATGTTAATTTAGCAACATGAGAAAAAGTGTCAGAATAATCAACACCATAGGTTTGAGCATAACCCTTCGCAACTAATCAGGCTTTCAACCGAGCAACAAATCTGTCTAGGTTAACATTAACAGCAAAGACCCACTTACATCCAATAGATTTCTTCCCTGTACGTAAGTCAACCAAATCCCAAGTACCATTAAGATCTAAAACATTCATTTTCTCGACCATGGCATGACGCCATTCAGGATGAGACAAAGCTTCTTTGACAGAATTGGGAACAGAAATAGAATCAATGGGGTAGGTACGGGATCTCTATTTAGAACAGTTTCTGTAGGAACCCTCAAGTCTTCTTCTACAAGAAGGGGATCTCTATTTCTTCTTTTCCATTCAAATGTCAAAGCTTTGCCTGACTTAAGTTCAATCAAGCATGGAGTTTAATACTATGGAGTTAAAATTTTGCCATTTTCTTACTATGGAGTTAAAATTTTGCCAACTAAATATCGCAAGTTAACTATTAACGAGATCACAAACGTTTGAAATGTCCAATGCTCGTCTTCAAGATCCGTTAGGATCATGACTGTTGAAATATAAACTAGAATAATAATAATGATAGTAATAATGGAGAAAGGAGAAAGAATTTTCTGTGTATTTCATTGGAGGGTTAAGTGCCTATATATATATACATTACAAAAATAGAATATTCCTATAAGATTATATACAATAATAATATCCTAGAGTATTTTTTCATTTTCATTTACCCCAGTGCCGCAAAGGCTCCCACCTACGGTGGGGTAAGGGGGGTCGGATGTACGCAGTCTTACCCCTGTACTAAAGCACGGAGAGACTGTTTCCGGATGACCCATAGTGAAAATCCCATCCAAAATTGTATGGACTGACTGCTGCTTCATGACAAAGAAGCGCAAATGATGGAAAGAATAATATCCTAGAGTATATTCCTAAAATATTCTAAAGTATATTCTACGTTAGAATAATATTCTAAAGCATATTATAAAGTATATTCTAATGTCTTTCACACTCCCCCTCAATTAGGAGCATAAATATTTATCATGCCCAACTTGTTACATAAATAACCAACACGAATTCCATTTAGTGCTTTAGTGAACAAATCTCCAAGTTGCTCTCTAGTTTTCACATATCTTGTAGAGATCAATCCTTGTTGTATTTTTTCTCGAACAAAGTGACAATCGACCTCAATATGTTTTGTTCTCTCATGAAACATTGGGTTGTTGGCATTGTGTATAGCAGCTTGGTTATCACACCAGAGTTTAGCAGGCATTGGTGTCTTCAATTCGATTTCACTCAATAAATGGTTTATCCAGATTATCTCACATGCTGATTGTGCCATAGCCCGATATTCTGGTTCAGCACTCGAACGAGAAACCACATTCTGCTTCTTACTTTTGCAAGAGACGAGATTACCACCAACAAAGACGCAATAGTCAGATGTGGATCTTCTATCATCTTTAGATCCAGCCTAATCAGGATCTGCAAAACATTCTATTCTCATGTGATTATACAACAACATCCAAGCCTTAATCCCAAAAGAATTTGGGGTCGGCTAACATGAATCGATCTATGATATCGATGCCAAAAAGAGAAGGTGGACAATAAAAGGAAAAAAAGTAAGATAAAATGAATAAAATAAAGATACATAAATATAAGATAACAATAACACAAGAATATAACCAAGATAAAAGAAAAATAAATAAAAGAGCATAAAAAAGCTAGAAGATAAAAATAACATAAGAATATAAAAAGATAAGGAAGATAAACGATAAAAGAAACAAGAGAGAAAAGGTAGACAAGACATCAATCGTCCACATGGATGTGCGCCCTCCACTTTGCTCTCTCCACAGCCATACTCTCATCCAACCCAAGAAGACGCATATCAGTTCTGATTCCAAGTCTGTTTAGGTCTTCCCCTCCCTCTCTTCTCTGACTCTTCTCCCCACCCCTCAAGTCGTCTAACAGGTGCATCACTCGGTCTTCTATGCACATGCCCAAACCACCGCAAACGAGACTCCTGCATCTTATCTTCTATAGGTGCTACTCCCACCTTTTGTCTGATTACCTCATTCCTCAGGTGATCTTTTCTGGTATGTCCACACATCCAACGCAACATACGCATCTCTGTCACACTCATCTTTTGAATGTGGCATTGCTTCACCGCCCAACAATCTACGCCATACATTAATGCCGGCCTAATTGCTGTACGATAAAATTTACCTTTCAGTTTAGTCGGCATACCTCGATCGCATAGAAATCCTGAAGCACTTTTCCATTTCATCCACCCAGCTCTGATTCTATGACATACATCTCCATCTAATTCACCATCCTTCTGAATTATGGATCCCAAGTAATGGAACATATCACACACCGGTATCTCCTTACCATCAAGAGTAATCCCACTGTAGCTACTGCTTCTACCTCAACCGAACTTGCACTCCATATACTCAGTCTTGCTTTGGCTCAGTTTGAAACCCTTGCTCTCCAATGTTTGTCGCCATACTTCCAACTTTGCTTTAACACCGGATTATGTCTCATCAATCAATACAATATCGTCGGCAAACATCATGCACCACGGTATATCTTCTTGAATTGACTTCGTAAGTTCATCCATGACTAAAGCAAATAAGAAAGGACTCAGAGCAGATCCTTTGTGCACTCCAATAGTAACAGGGAACTCTGCGGTCCTCCCTACACTAATGCGGACACTTGTAGTACAAGCATCATACATATCCATGATAATGCTGATATACTTACGTGATATGCCTTTTCTAGTTAAGGCCCACCAAAGAACTTCTCGAGGTACCCTATCATATGCCTTTTCTAAGTCATTGAACACCAAATGCAAATCCTTCAAGTAATACCTCATCCTGGTGTCCCCTTCAAGTAACATAATATATGCTCTACAACATTCCAATGATCAACGGTCGAAGATCACATATATTGACTTACTACACTCACTGAGTACGCAATATCTGGACGGGTAACTGCGAGATAATTAAGCTTTCTAACCAACCTTCTATATCTTTCTGGATCTTCAAATGGCACGCCTTCATGAGTGAGTTACACATTGGGAATCATGGGAGTATTGCTCGGTTTTGCCCCTAATTTCCCTGTTTCAGTTAGCAAGTCAAGCACATATTTACGTTGAGATAGAAATATGCCTTTCTTACTCCGTGTAACCTCAATCCCCAAGAAGTATTTCAATGAGCCCAAATCTTTCATCTGAAATTGACTATGAAGAAAATTCTTAAGGGCCAAAATACTTGCATTATCACTCCCTGCAATCACAATATCATCAACATACACCACAAGCAATGTGATACCTGCTGAAGCATAAATGACTTAAATGGAACACATAGATATTCTTGGGCATTGTCTCCACTTAACACCCGAACAGGAGCGTAAACTGAGTTTTAATTTCAGCACAAAAGGAAGAAAAATGAGTGAACAACTCAGATCGACGTTTCATGAAATACAGCCATGTCATACGAGAATAGTCATCAACAAAGGTAACAAAATATTTAAAACCTGCTTTAGACACAACCGGGCAAGCACCCCAAACATCAGAGTGAACAAGGTCAAATGGAGCATTTGCTCGTTTATTAACTTGAGGGCTTAAGCTAGTACGATGGTGTTTCGCAAATTGACATGACTCACATTGTAAAGAGGTCATCTTATTGAATTGAGGATTTATTTGCTTCATTAATGGGAGAGATGGATGTCCTAATCGGTAATGAGCCTCTAACAAAGTCCCGACCCCAAGACAAGAGATACCTTTTGTGATTGATGTATCCAAAATATAAAGTCCAGCTTACTCATGTCCTTCACCAATAGTCTGCTTCGTTAACAGATCCTGAAACACACACAATATCCAGGAAAAAATGTTACAGAACAATTAAGAGTACGCGTGATTTTGCTGATGGAAAGCAAATTAAATGCAAAATTGGGAAGACTCAAAACAGGTGATAATGGCAGTGTAGAAGTTGGGATAACAATACCAGATCCAAGAACAGGTGAGGTAGATCCATCAGCTAAAGTGACACTAGAAGTAGGTAAATATGAATGAAATGATGAGAATAGATTAGGATTACCAGTCATATGATCTGTGGCATCTGAGTCAATGACCCATTTCGAGGATGAGGAAATAAGACATGTGTTTGAAATACCTGAATTAGCGACTACCGAGATAGAGACAGATTAATGCTTTAGAAATTCTTGGTAGGAAATAAATTTGGCATACTCGTCTGAAGAAACAGCAATTGATCCATCAGATGAACTGGTAACGGAAGCAACATGACCAAGCTGATTTGCTTGATTCTCGAATAGCAATTTCCTACATTCTTTGATCAAGTGCCCGGGCTTCTTGCAGTAATTGCATATTACTCCTCTACCACATGGACCCGTACAAGACATTTTTTTTTTGTTTTTATTTTTTATTTTTTTTTGTTTTTTTTTGTTTGGCAATTAAGTTCAAAACTTAGATAGCAATGGAAACTTACAGCAGCATTCTCGTTTGTGGGATCAAAAAAACTTTAATAAAATAACCAATCATATGGGCTTTACTGCTACAAACTCTTCAAGTTTCGTCCTTGGACTGGGGAAGAAAACGGATGCGCTAAATAGATACGATCTCAGTCAAAGGGGAGGATATCCATAGATATCCGATGCCAGATACTAGCGACCGACAAGACTTCCTCCAGCTCACAAAGATATCCGTCGGATTCCGTCTCTTGCTTGAGAAAGAACGAGAGAAGAATACCTGGAAGTAACGTGTACAAACAGATGGCTTTGAGGTTTTGTGAAGAGTTCGGATCAAATACCTGTTGTAGTGAGTGCTTCTGGAGGTCGTGTGGCTGATGGGCGTCGACTTGCAGCTGCGAACTTCCAACGCCGGGTCGGAGGCGACAGGGATGGTGTAGTCAGAAATTCGCTGGGAAAATGGTCGGACCTGGGCACCTGGCAGATTCTGAATGGTGCAGTTTGCTTGATACTGAGGTTCTGAATTTGCTTGAACTCAGGTTCTGAATAGAGGTTCTGTTTATGGTGATGGTGTGTAGAGAGGTTCTGTCCTGGACTGAGTTTCTGGGAGACAAAATGGTACCTAGAGGTTCTGAACTCAGGCTCTCGGAGAAAGAACCGAGTTTGAAAACTAAGCTGAAATCTGAAAAATAAACTCAAATGGATGTCTCTGATACCATGTTGAAATATAAACTAGAATAATAATAATGATAGTAATAATGGAGAGAGGAGAAAGGAATTTTCTGTGTATTTCATTGGAGGGTTAAGTCCCTATATATGCTCGAACTGATGACTTCCACCACGTAAAGGTTTCAAATTTCGAACAGGAAAGGGCGATCGAAGTTCAGTGAAGTAGGCATTACTTTGCACTACTTATATATTCGAGCCGGTATAAAGTATATATATTTAACTTATTAAGACTCAGTAATACTAGAATATTCCTATAAGATTCTATACAATAATAATATCCTAGAGTATATTCCTAAAATATTCTAAAGCATATTCTAAAGATAGAAGAATATTCTAAAGCATATTATAAAGTATATTCTAATGTCTTTCACAATGACTTTGGCGACGAGAATGTATGGGATGCAGTTGTTCCATTTAAGGAACTTCTTGATTCTTGGACAGCCATGTGTACGAAGCTATAGGTACCAGGTGTAGGACTCTGGAAAGCACAACCTTAACTGTCTGTCATTTTCTTATCTGTGTGGCAGTGCCAGACTGATGCGGTCAATAATTTCTCCCCCTTACTGGAGGTGGTGTTATTTCCCATTTGCTAGACCTGTTCAATATCCATAAGACCATAACTCATCGTCATATCACAGTCATGTTTCTGTGGCTAGAATCTGTCACAAACTTCTAAGATTTGCTTTTGATATTTTTGCAACCATTCAGTACACCTTAAGTTTGTTGGTGACCAGAAATACTGTTCTAGTGAAGAAGCAATCCATCTTTACACCAAAATATCCAGAAAAGCTCCCAAAATCCGGGGATACCTTGCTTTTTCTTTTTCGGAGCATGTACTGTTCACCGTTACTATTCTGGCAAGGCGCTGTGAAAAAGCAACTTTTCCTAGAAACTGTACATGAGCTTAAGCTAAAAAACTCTCCCAAAAATGTGTACATACTCGGCCACATAATAGTAGCGAACCCAACAGTTTTCACAATTTTAAATGTATTTGTAGAATTTCGACTTCAGTTAAAACTAAAAGTTGTTGAGAGTAATTCCCAGAGTCAACTTATCGAGTTAAAGACTTAAAGTTCAAGTTGAAAGTGAACTTCGAACATCAAAGTTGAAGTTAAAGTTTGAAAATTTCAAGTTGAGGATGTTCGAGTGGACACGAAATTTTAAATTTGAAGTTGGTATTTGATTCCTATGTAGTTGTTCCAGTCAAGTAAAAGTTCCGCATATCAGTATCAAGTTTCATGTGCTAGGTAATTATGTCATCCTAATCTACTTGTGTTGAGAAAATGCATTTCACATAAGCTGTAAGCTGTCTGCCTATGGTTCTCAACTTTCTATCTAGGTCGCCTTTAGAGTTTTTGGCTATCCCCCAAAGTAAGACTGTGGGGCTCCCAGTGCCTATATTTCTTAACATTTGAACCAAATAATCAATCAAGAACTATGCAGAATAACACACTTGCAATAGTTCTTTTCGTAGTTTCTTTTGTTCTGCTTCCACCTTACTGACAATTGGTGTCATTCGCCACTGCTGGACGTATACAAAAATCTAAAGTTGAGCAGTTTTAGCAACTCAGTCAATCAATTCAATTCACAGAAACTCCAAGTCTCTGTAGGGTCCAAGAATGGGGCATATGTTAACAGTATTGACTCTTAAGGAAAGTGTTATGTGCTATGACTAACCCTAGTTTTACATATTGTTGGGCATTTCTATAATTTGAATCTTTGAGGCACATCAATCCAATAAAGTCTAATTTATTACCATATTCGCCACCAGCTAAAACAATATCTGGAGGAGTGGTATAATCAACTCAGCAGATCAAATAGCAAACATTTAAAATTTCTCTATGGTCCAAGAGTTGAGTATATGTGTAACAAGATTTGATGCTATGGCTTATTTGCTCCCACCTGGAGGAGTGTTGAATACTTGAATGCTATGACCAGCCATTGTTATGATGGGCTGAGCCCCATGTGGTTACATAGTATCCCTAATAAAAATTCACTTTATTTGCAGGGTTGGTGTAGGTAACTTCTTAAGTTCATTGGTTGAAAAAGTTGGTACTGATATCAAGCCATTTATTTCCATGTTACTGAAGCTGCTATTACAAGTGGTTCATGATGAAAAAAGTGCTATTGCAAAACGTGCATATGCAAATGCTTGTGCAAAAGTTCTGAAATATTCATCTCCTACTCCGGCTCAGAAGTTAATTGAGGATACTGCCTCTATGCAAAATGGTGAAAGAAACGCTCAGATTTCATGTGCCATTCTTTTGAAAAGCTACTCATCCAATGCTCCTGATATTTTGAGTAGATATAGTGCCATAACTGTGCCTGTTATTTTCATCTCGAGGTCAAATTCAATCTCCCACTTATTGTTTAAATCATCAATTTGCTTGTATTGGAATACGTTGTATCTGTTTCTTTAAAATGTTGTTTTATTTATTTCATCATTGTAAATTTTTAGAGGTTCACCCTTGCAATGATGAAGTATGCACGCTATATATTTATGTATTGGTAGTATGCTGCCATATAAAAACAGCATTTCTTACTTGAGTGGCTCACTTATAAGATTATATGTAGAAATGTACAGCCGAGTACAAGTGTAGATAAGTTAGAAAACTTGTTGTAATTAGATGTAATTAATTCCTTCTTATCAGATAAGAAGTGTTAGGTAGTCAGATCCTACTTTTTAGGATCTCGTTATTGAGGTTGTTAGTCTTGTACTCTATATATATTGTAACTGGATGATTGAATGAATCAAGTCAGATATTTCCCTCAAACTTACATGGTATTTCAGTGCACACACTCAGATATCCACCTCTTTTGCTTGAAGGTAATATTTAGTCTAATCTAGGAGGCTAATGAAATGAATAATAGCAGCATAGTAGAAGGGGTATATATGTTCTCTCATATGTAGTTGAGGGGTATATGCATTCTCTCACATATAGTTCAAGGGTATATTTGTTTCAACTTTACAGTTTATGACACAAGCCCTACTTTTAAGTATAGATAGAAAAAGTTGGGAAGTACCTGCTACAACAGAAGCAGCCCTGGTGAGAAGCCAATAAGAAAGAACTACTTTTATGTTCATCCTCTTGATCATAAAGGATCCGCTCACCTGCCCAATCATTCCGAATAAAGCTTGCATCCTTTGTATTACCGCGGCTGCTGGCACAGAGTTAACCAGTGCTTATTCCCTGGATACCATTAATTGTTGCAAAAAAGTTGAAGGCTATATTTGTTCTTTGTGAAATATAGTTCAAGGGTATATTTTATTTCTTCTCCTTAGAGTAATACAATTAAATGTGATTCAGATTGGCATTGCAGTATTTCTTGAAGTGTAAAAAATGATGATATAATGATATTTTAAATGTATGGATCTAACTTTGTGAAAAAAATTAAATAGCTACTTAAATTATTTTGTATTCCGTAAAACATGATATGCTAATACATGTTTCTGTGTGTAACACGCTTTGCTTCGGCTAGTTATGTTGCCTATCGCTGATCTGAGATGCAGTATGATACTGTGATTTTTAGCTCCTCCATCCTATTTTCTAGTCCGAATTACCTACTTGTACAGTTTTGATGCCATGATAAATTGACAATTTGTAAGTTTGTTTTGTGAAATTTTCTGTAGATTTGAGGATGATAAGATAGTTTCCGATTTATATGAAGAAATGTGGGAAGAGAATATGAATAGTGAGCGGATAACACTGCAGCTCTACTTGAGTGAAATTGTTAATCTCATCAATGAAGGCCTCATGTCATCTTCATGGTCAAGTAAACGCAAGGTATTTGCGATTTTATTTTCCTTAAATTTTGTTCTGTTCCGTTTCAATAATGCCTTGGTATACTGCTCTTGATGCAGGCAGCCCATGCAATAAAAAAGCTCTGTGAAGTCCTTGGTGATTCAGTGTCTTCACATCATCATATGTTGCTCACACCTTTAATGAAGGAAATTCCTGGCCGTTTATGGGAAGTAAGATGCTTGTGCTACCTAGTTAGGATGTTTTTAATTGGACTGAAATTTTCTGGTCTAGCCTCGTAAATGTCTGGTTTGTGTATATTTTATAATTATTTTATAATTGTTGAAGTCTAGTCTGGTCTGGTCTGTTTAAGACTATGTTCGGCAAGCCACATAAGCTCAAAATGGGCTGAAATATTTTAAATTCAGTCAATTATTTTGTTAAAAATCTTGTTTGGCAAAAGAGCTTAAGTGGGCTGGATCTGAAATAATTGAACTGAACCCACACGCTACTCAGTCTAGCGTTTCCGTTCAGTTTAGTGTATAATTTACATACTTTCCCGTATTATCCTCTCGCTTCTCTCTTTCATTCGCCGATCATCTTCACCGCTTTATCAATCTTGAAGAATTCCCCTGAATTTGGAAGATGGGGAACGACTGTTCAATCTTCACAGAACTGTGCGTCACCACTAGTAGTGTTGATTCTCCACTCTTTGACTGTACAAGGATGCTTGAATCATCGTACATCTTGTTATTTGGTTAGCTGGAGTTGAGATGCCTCTTTTGGGACTACTTTTAGAAGGTTAGGAACTTTAGCACCAGAATTTTGCTCAGACCCATCGATGAGTCTCGTGTTGATTTATTTGCTACCAGTTTAAACGAAGAGATGATCTTCATTATATCCCAAATTTGGGTTGGTGCTTTTGCTAATGAGAAGAGTCAAGAGTGTAATGTTAGAGGCACAATATGACTATAATTAATATTTAATAAATAATAATTACAGAGTATCATTATGTAAGAAATAAAGACCAACCCTCTATTTCAATGAAGAGGTATTTCTTCACTCAAAAAGTATATGTAATACACACACAAAATAGAATACATATATAACTATGCATACTAAAATCTTATGAAGTACGGAGTAATATTTATTTAAATATAAAATCATTATAATAAATATTTTGTTCTATTAATAAAATCTATGCCCTTTAATGTAATTTCATATTATCCGGTCACTCTCTCAGCTCTTTTTGCCAAACGGGTTTACTCTATTCAGCTAATTCAGATTCAACACTTCAAAATCCAGCTTCAAACAATAGTCTCTAATCCAGATAATAGCCCCTAATTCAGACATTAGCCTCCAGTTCTAGCTTGTTGTGCCAACCATAGCCTAAGTTTGGTTTGGTCTGTTCAGGGACTGAAATAATTCCAAGTAAAAGCATCCCTATTCATTAGAACAAGTTGATTTTCCCCTCTGATTAGTAATTTATGTGAACTATGTTACAATTGGGTTTTTTTCTTTCTAATTGGTGATGTTATTTTTTCACATTTAAAGAGATATAGGATTTTATTTCGTATTACAAATGATTCATCCGATAGGTAATTCCATTAATATTTATTAAGTGCTCAGATAACTTCTATAGTTCTATGATAATTTTTTTCCTCACTTTAATATGTAAGTTAGTCCGCATTCATCATCATCATCATTACCCCAGTGCCGCAAAGGCTACCACCTACGGTGGGGTAAGGGGGGGTCGGATATACGCAGTCTTACCCCTGTACTAAAGCACAGAGAGACTGTTTCCGAATGACCCATAGTGAAAATCGCGTCAAAAAATACATGGACTGACCGTTGCTTCACAATAAAGAAGCGCAGACAGTTTAGTGAACCATTTTGCTTTATTCCATCATATTCTCAAGCCAAAAAATAGTGAATCTTTGGCTCCATTGCAAATGATGGAAAAACAAATGTTTGCAAAAAAATAGTGAATCTTTGGCTCCATAAGTTAGTCCGCATTGTTTTGAGTTATATCTTCAAAATTAATTTATTAAAGTAAACCATTGTTATTGGCCATAAAGTTTCTTTCCGTGAACATCAAGTGGTGTCTCCTGTTTTGATGATGACAATCATGCTTTGTCTACAAGGATGTCTCTCCATTATAAGAAACCATCTCCAGTACCATCCTCTTTTCCATGAAGTGCTGTCACCATTAAGTTTTACTTTTTGTTTTGTTTTTGGGTGGTGGTAGACTGTCAAGGTTTTTAAGAAGGAATGATGATTAGCCAATAAACAATCAGAGAACCCAATGGAAAGTGTATGGGAATGTGGAATATTTGTATAACAATTTTTTTATGCTTCTCCTTAAAGATATCCATCTAGTATTTTCTTTTTCCATAGTTTACATGCTTCTGATGTTACTATGGATGGTCCTAGCTTTTTTGAGGGCATTTAATTTCTCCTGATTAAGCTTATGAGATGTTTGCATTTCATGGCAGGGAAAAGAGGCCTTACTGTATGCATTATCTTCGCTTTGTAAATCATGCCATGAAGCAATTTCTGCTGCCAATACCGAGTCCCCAAATGCCATTTTGGATCTAATGTCTTCTGCCTGCACTAAAAAAACACGCAAGTATTGTGAAGCTGCCTTTGACTGTCTTGAGCAGGTAAACCCCACCAGCTTTGAAGAAATTTGAATGCTGGATTTAAATACTTAGGGTGTACAACAAAGAAAAACAATATTGTCAATATGTAGTGAAGAAAAATATTATAGGTGTAGCAATACTTCCCAAAAATGGCAGATACAGAAACTACTCAGATTCCAAACACAATGGGGAATTTTTATAACAATTCAATTATAAGTTTAGAATTACATCACACAGTCCTCTTTCCATCATTTGGCTTGGGAATATGATGGAATAAAGCAAAATGGCTTAATAAATTGTCTGCGCTTCTTTGTTATGAAGCAACAGTCAGTCCATGCAATTTTCGATGCGATTTTCATCATGGGTTAACCGGAAACAGTATCCCTGTGCTTTAGTACAAGGGTAAGGCTGCGTACATCCGACCCCTCCTTACCCCACCATAGGTGGGAGCCTTTGTGGCACTGGAGTAATGCTGTTGTTGCAGTTGCCTTGTTGTTGTAATTACATGATTTACATCACACAATCCAAGGCAAGGATAAATGCTTGATTTTTTTACAATGAACGAGCTTCTATAATTCAAGGTGCCAAGGTGGCAATAACACTCCGGTGTAAATGTTCGGGAGTGGTTCTCATGAACGATATTCGAAGTATGTCAAAAGTAATCTTAATAGGAGATTTAGGGGTGAGTCAGCCTAATCCTAGTCAAATCTAATGAACTTAGCAAGCCCTACCACCTAGACTTCCCTAAGACTGTAACTTGAAAAGTTTCCAAAACATACTCGTAAACTACTGTTTTTTTTGCATAGCATACCTTGAACAGATGCATGTACACCCACTTGCAACTTATTATCTTTGTCTTGCCATGTATTCCTTGATAACCTGACTGAGAGGATCACATATCTTTCTTCATGTTGCTCATGTTCTACACATATAATCTCTTCTACTCACTTGTGCGAACCAGAAACCACCCGCCTGATCTAAATACACATTAATTTAAAAAAGTAACTGTATTAGCCCATATCTTTGACATTTAATGAAGTCTAGTGCATCCCCATATGATGATGTTATATCCGTTTTATAAATTAACTCAGTACGGGTTTCTGGTTTGTTGTATATTAACTTAACTTTAGAGTTTATGTCACTCTGTTTTTCTCATTTGACACCTTTTCATCATGCATCAATATTTCAGATTATTAAGGCCTTCAATAATCCGGACTTCTTCAGCAAAGTTTTCCCATTGTTGTCTGAAATGTGCTGCTCCACTTCAACTGGTGATGCTAAAGCAGGTATTTACTTCAGCCACTAGGTTAAGTTTTGTTTCCATTTTAAAGAGGCCCTAAACCAACTCATGAAGGTTCTTGTCTTCTAGTAAACGTAGGGGCCTCTAATAGGCTGCAAATATCTTCTAATAGCCCAATTTGAGAAAATGAGACCTTTTTGCCAAGGGTGATCTTATTTCAATGCATTGGCCATTGGGCTTCTTACATTTTCTACTTACCGTGTTAAATTTGTCCCAGCTCACCCCCAAAGGAACTTCAATAGGTGGGGTTTGCCTCGAATTTTTAGGCTCAAACCTTGTAAATGTGGGATGCTCAGCACATGCCCCCATGCTCAAGCTGGGCTGGGCTAGTTAATGGCTAGTTAAATGGGTCCAAACCAATCCTAAGGCTGGTTAAATGAGTCCAAACCAATCCTAAAAAGGATACCTAAGCCATCAAGTGGGTGAGCATCCAACATACACAAATCGTGGACTAGGCTCTGATACTATGTTAAATCGGGTTTACCTCACCCTAACAAGATCACCAGGAGGTAAGGTCTACCTCTATAGTACACTCAAATCAAATAAAGAACTAATGTGTGATAGATACTCAACAAGTAATTATAGCATATGCGTTTGGCTTGGTTCTTTGGATCAGATTTATATCCTTATTTTACCTTGTAGTGTTGCTAGGGCTTTGCGCAGTTTCAATTTGGATTTTCTGTGCTTTGATTTCCATGTGGTGTTAACTGCTAAGCCTCCTTTGTTGTTGCTTTGATCACCTGTTTTTGCAGAGGACGAGGAAAACTTGTCTGCTGGAAGTGATAAAATAGTGAACTGCATTACTGCTGCCATACATGTAGCACGTTTGGATGACATCATCGAACATCAGAAGAACTTGTTCAATGTTTTTTTAGTTTCACTCTCAGCTAGTGTTCCATGGATAGGTAACTGCCAAATGATGCTCTTCTCTCTTTTCTTTGCACACAAATCATTCTATTCTCTTTCAATAATGTGCTGTTTTTTGGACAGTTAAAATAACAGTTTTCTCATCAATTAAAGAGCTTTGTTCAAGGATCCATGTTGTGATTGACGACACTAAAGATTCTCCTCCAAAAAACATTAATTCTTTGGTTCGAGAGGTAATATAAACCTCGTGTTTTTTTTTCTCAACACTTCAAAACGGCTGTTATCTTGGGTTCTAAGCGACTCTTGTGCTAAATAACAGCTCTTCATGGAGACGTCTTCCAAAGTGCTTGAATGTATACGTACTATAAAAATAGCACAGGTATGCTATGAAGTCTTCTTCGTCTGCTCTTTATCTGAGGATATTATGTTTTTATAGTTTTAAATTTCCAAGACTGGCTCTTGAAAAATCAAGTTGCATTGTTCCACTATAAATTCAGCCCACGTGTTTAATGTATATGTAAAAAAACTTAAGAAATCCGCCTACTAAAAGTACGAGTAATAATAATTTCTCCTCGCAATGCAAATTCTCCGATCCATCAATGCTTGGGACCAAATGATGATGATAAAGGATTAGTTCAATGAAGTGTCTTCTTAAGATTTGATCCTAAATGATTTTTTTATTGTAATTTTTGTTTGTTTTCAGCTCTAAATTTAACTTGGAGTTTCATAGATTCAAGATCCGAAAGATAAGTTTTCCATCAAAGTAGGATATGAAAGTTGAAATTATTAGTTTACGACCTGAGTGATAGAAACCGTCATTCCAGTACATAAAAAGCATCAATATCAAATCTTTTTAATTGTAAATATATTTTAATAAGTCCTTGTTAAACTTAGCATATACTGTGATTCTGTGAATGATTTTTCCTTGAAAATTAACATAGAAGGTGTTAAAAATTAAAAAGACTTGCAATTCATGACTTTTTGTCTTAGAATCTTAGATTGACAACCTCAACCATTAAGGTAATAAAGTGATAATTTTCATCTTTGCCAACCTATCTTTAAGGATATAACTCCATCTAACTTACATTTCACATGTATGTTGACAATGCTATGAAGGCTACTACTCAATTGTTGTATACTTCCTTGAGACCTCACTCATTTTTGGCGTGCACAAACTCAGGTGCATATAGCTGCGGCAGAGTGTCTTGTGGAAATAACAGATCTGCTGGTAGCTTCTGCTGCTCCAGTGATGGGGCTGTGTGAAACCAGATTTGGCCCCGAGCTTTTGCAAGTGACTGAAATCGAAAAAAATGAGTTGGCCAAGTCTTCTTTGAAGAAGTGTATCGATACCCTTAAAACTCTCCAAGAAAAGCAAATGATAATTGGCTAAAGGCTTTATTTGTTTTCGCAGCCAGACGGATCATCACAAATCACTCTAAATGCCGACATGGAAACCACAACATATGTTTGAGGAGGTTGATTAAATGATTTTCTTTAGTTTTTTAACTTTTATAGTGGTATAGATGCCTTATATAACAAATTATCATTTCAAACTCGTGCAAATTGTGGTATAACATCTTTAAATAGTGTTGAAATAGAAACTGAAATGATATTAAAATGGAGAGAAGGATTTTCTGTGTATTTCATTAGAGGGTTAAGGCCCTATATATATATATATTACAAAGATGGAATATTCCTATCTAAGATGCTATACAATAATAATGTCTAGAGTATATTCCTAAAGCATATTCTAGAGCATATTCCTAAAGCATATTCCTAGATACAATAATACTTTCACACTCCCCCTCAAGTTGGAGCATAGATATTTATCATGCCCAACTTGTTACATAAGTAATCAACTCGAATCCCATTTAGAGCTTTAGTGAATAAATCTCCATGTTGTTCTCCAGTCTTCACATACTCGGTAGAGATTAATCCTTTTTGTATCTTCTCTCGAATAAAATGGCAATCAACCTCAATATGCTTTGTTCTCTCGTGAAATACGGGGTTGTTTGCTATGTGTATAGCAGCTTGGTTATCGCACCACAACTGAGCAGGCATTGGTGTCTTCAATCCAATTTCATTCAATAAATGGTGTATCCATATTATCTCACATGTGGATTGTGCCATAGCTCGATGTTCTGATTCAGCACTAGAACGAGAAACCACATTCTGTTTCTTACTCTTCCAGGATACAAGATTACCACCAACAAAGACACAATAGCCAGATGTAGATCTTCGATCATCTTTAGAATCGGCCCAATCAGCATCTGCAAAGCATTCTATTCTCATGTGATCATGGTTTTGATAAACAATACCTCGTCCTGGTGCTCCCTTTAAGTAACATAATATGTGTTCTACAGCAGCCCAATGATCAATGGTCGGAGATGACATGTATTGACTCACTACACTCACAGAATAAGCAATATCTGGATGGGTGACTGCGAGATAATTAAGCTTTCCAACCAGTCTTCTATATCTTTCTGGGTCTTCAAACGGTGTGCCTTCTTGAGTGAGTTGCACGTTGGGAACCATGGGTGTTGTACTTGGTTTTGCCCCTAATTTCCCTGTCTCAGCTAGTAAGTCAAGTACATATTTACGTTGAGATAGAAATATGCCTTTCTTACTTCGTGTTACCTCAATTCCCAGAAAGTATTTCAAAGAGCCAAGATCTTTCGTCTGGAATTGACTATGCAGAAAATTCTTAAGGGCCAAAATACCTGCATTATCACTCCCTGTAATCACAATATCATCAACATATACCACAAGCAATGTGACACCTGATTCTGTTTGTTTGTAAAAGACAGAGTGGTCTGATTTGCCTTTATCATTCCAAATTGTTCAATTGATTGACTGAATTTCCCAAACCATGCACGAGGACTCTGTTTCAGACCATAAAGAGATTTGCGAAGTCGACAAACTTTACCATACTCCCCCTGAGCAACAAATCCCGGAGGTTGCTCGATATAGACTTCTTCCTTAAGGTCACCATGCAAAAATGCATTTTTAATGTCCAACTGATGTAAGTGCCAATCATGAATTGCAGCGAGTGAGATAAGTAACCTGACAGATGTTAATTTAGCAACAGGAGAAAAAGTGTCAGAATAATCAACACCATAGGTTTGAGCATAACCCTTTGCAACTAATCGGGCTTTCAACCGAGCAACAGATCCGTCTGGGTTAACCTTAACAGCAAAGACCCACTTACATCCAATAGATTTCTTCCCTGTAGGTAAGTCAACCAACTCCCATGTACCATTAAGATCTAAAGCATTCATTTCCTCTACCATGGCTTGACGCCATTCAGGATGAGACAAAGCTTCTTTGACAGATTTGGGAATAGAAATAGAATCAATGGAAGCAATAAAAGAACATGAAGCAGGAGATAACTGATTGTACGACACAAATGAAGAAATAGGATGAGTACAAGACCGTGTACCTTTACGTACTGCTATTGGGAGATCAAGATCTGATGTGGAATCAAGATCTGAAGATGCAGATACTGGTTCAGGACATGAGATCGGAGTCGAACTAGTATCAGGAAAAGTAATCACAGGTATCGCCGGTGGAGGGTGATCAGGTGCTTTGTGTCGACGGGTGTATACCAAATGTACGGGAGGCCTAGGGTCATGAACAATAACTCGTGGAATATTTGTCGAAAGTGTGGACTCGGAAATAGTCATCGTGTAAATGAGAATATCATCATTACTCTCACGAATATCTGCCTTGGATGATGAAAAAGGTGTATTTTCATGAAATGATGCATCAATAGAAACAAGATACCGACCAGTACTCGGACAAAAACATCTATACCCCTTTTGGACTCGAGAATAACCCAAGAAAATACATTTTAAAGATTTCGGATCTAACTTTGTTAGATGAGGATTAACATCTCTAACAAAACAAGTGCAACCAAATATTTTAGGTGGGATAGGAAAAAGCTCTCTGTTTGGAAATAGACAATGATAAGGAGCTTTACCATTCAAAACAGAAGATGGCATTCGATTTATCAAAAAACATGCAGTAGACACGACATCTGCCCAAAACTGTTTAGGCACATTCATTTGGAATAGAAGAGCCCTTGCAGTTTCTAAGAGATGTCGGTTCTTTCGTTCCGCAACTCCATTTTGAGGAGGTGTATCAACGCATGAAATTTGATGAATAATGCCATGTTGAAGCATAAATGACTTAAATGTAGCAGATAGATATTCTTGGGCATTGTCTCCTCTTAACACCCGAACAGGAACGTTAAACTGAGTTTTAATTTCAGCACAAAAGGAAGAGAAATGAGTGAACAACTCAGATCGACGTTTCATGAAATACAACCATGTCATACGAGAATAGTCATCAACAAAGGTAACAAAATATTTAAAACCAGCTTTAGACACAACCGGGCAAGCACCCCAAACATCAGAGTGAACAAGGTCAAATGGAGCATTTGCTCGTTTATTAACTCGCGGGCCTAAGCTAGTACGATGGTGTTTCGCAAATTGACATGACTCACATTGTAAAGATGTCATCTTATTAAATTGGGGATTTATTTGCTTCATTAATGGGAGAGATGGATGTCCTAATCGGTAATGAGCATCTAACAAAGTCCCAACCCCAAGACAAGAGATACCTTTGGTGATGGATGTATCCAAAATATATAGACCAGCTGACTCATGTCCTTTACCAATGATCTGCTTCGTTAACAGATCCTGAAACACACAATATCCCGGAAAAAATGTTACAGAACAGTTAAGAGTACGAGTGATTTTACTGATGGAAAGCAGATTAAATGCAAAATTAGGAAGACTCAAAACAGGCGATAATGGTAATGTAGAAGTTGGAACAACAGTACCAGATCCAAGAACGGGTGAGGTAGATCCATCAGCTAAAGTGACACTAGAAGTAGGTAAATATGAATGAAATGACGAGAATAGACTAGGATTACCGGTCATATGATCTGTGGCACCTGAGTCAATGACCCATTTCGAGGATGAGGAAACAAGACACGTGTTTGAAATACCTGAATTAGCGGTTACCGAGATAGGGACAGAGGAATGCTTTAGAGATTCTTGGTAGCAAATAAATTTGGCATACTCGTCTGAAGAAATAGAAATTGATCCATCGGATGAACTGGTAGCGGAAGCAACATGAGCAAGCTGATTTCCTTGATTTTTGAACAACAATTTTCTACATTCTTTGATCAAGTGTCCGGGCTTCTTACAGTAATTGCATATTACTCCTCTGTCAAATTTACCCGCACAAGACATAATTCCCTTGTTTTTTTTTTCTTTTCCTTTTTTTTGTTTTGTTTTTTTTTTGTTTTTGCAGTTTAATTGAAAATAGAGATAGCGGTGGAAACTTACAGCAGCCTTCTCATTTGTGGGCTGAAAATGTTAATAAGCAATCAACTGGGCCTTACTCCTACGGACTCTCCAAGCTTCGTCTTTTACTTGGGAAGAAAACACATGTGCTAACAGATATCCATTCTTCAACAATCAGATGCGCTAACGAGATGCGACCGACCGACAAATTTCCTCCAGCCCACAAAGATATCCGATGTGAGATACTAGCGACCAACAAATTTCCTCCAGCCCACACAAATATCCGTCGGATTCCCTCCCTTGAGAAAGAGCGAGAGAAGAAAACCAGAAAAGAAGTATCACTGCGGATGTAGTGAGTGCTTCCAAAGGCCGTGTGGCTGATGGGCGTCGATTTGGAGTTGCGAACTTCAAACCCTGGTCAGAGACGGCAGGAATGGTCTTGTCAGAAATCCGCCGGGAAGATGGTCGGACCTGGCAGATTCTGAATGATGTAGTTTGCGTGATACTGAGATTCTGAATTTGCTTGAACTAAGGGTCTGAATAGAGGTTCTGTTTAATGGTGATGGTGTGTAGAGAGGTTCTGTGCTGCACTGAGTTTCTGGGAGACAGAATAGTACCTAGAGGTTCTGAACTGAACTCAGGTTCTGGGAGAAAGAACTGAGTCTGAAAACTAAAATGAAATCTGAAAAATAAACTCAAATGGATGGCTCTGATACCATGTTGAAATAGAAACTGAAATGATATTAAAATGGAGAGAAGGATTTTCTGTGTATTTCATTAGAGGGTTAAGGCCCTATATATATTACAAAGATGGAATATTCCTATCTAAGATGCTATACAATAATAATGTCTAGAGTATATTCCTAAAACATATTCTAGAGCATATTCCTAAAGCATATTCCTAGATACAATAATACTTTCGCAAATAGAAATAACAATTACGTAGTATTACACTTTTAATTGTTCAACCATATGACATTATGACATGGCGATACACCGACTGTCTATACTTGAAGTTAATTTACTCCTTTTTAAACGTTCTTAACTAAAGCTATATTTCCTTATTTGGTAGATAGAATATTATCAGGCTACATAAAGTATTCAAACCGTGCCAAAACAATAAATGCCACGGTAATATTTACCTTTATAAAAAGGGCCTTTGTGGAAGTAAAAATATGATGTCCTTGAGCTCGGTGAAAGTCGAATTAAGAACTTCTTTAGGTGGATAATATATTGTTTAGGTGGTATAACACCATTTGTTTATTATTGTGATTTTGTCAAAAATAATATTAGGTGAAAATTAAGGATAAAAATAGGGTCACATTTAAAAAATTATAAAGTAACTACAGGATATTTATGCCCTTTTAATAAGTGACTTCTGCAT